ACTTACGAAGTCCCCCGGGCCTCCAAGCAACCACATGGCAGCGGTTGTGATGTTGTGATCCGTGTCGGCTGAGGGTTAGCGGGCGGGGGGGGGGGCTGAGGGTTTCGATCCATCAGGACACTAGATCTCCTAGGACTATTCTGGATATGTCCTCTGACCAACAAACCCGAATCCCAAAACCGCTGCACACCTAAATCCGAAAACCTCATACCCCTAAACCCCTAATCTCATAAGACCGCAAAACACCCCTGTGACCCTGTGAAACAAGAACTGCAGAGGAGATGCGCCTTCACGCTATGACCGCGAGGGGATCGTTTTTCTTCATCCCATGCCCGAAACCCTAAAATCACCCCAGAATACCAGAGATGCGCCGTTTAGGGTTTAGGTTAAAGTAAGGGCTCCTAAACTTAGGCTCTCGCATGGTGGGACGCCGGAATCGGCAGCTCCTGTGCCAAGAGCTCCTGACAGAGATCTGCAAAGCTAAGCGGTTTGGGATTAGGTTTTAGGGTTTAGGCTTGGGGGACTCGACTCGGGTCTTCAGGGCTTCGGATTTTAAGGTTTATGTTTAGGGACCCCTAAACCCTAAACCCTAAACCCTAAACCCTAAACCGGGTTTGGGCCTTAGGCTGGAGATAGTAGGGCCCCAAAAAGCACATAAGCAAACGTTAGGATAGGGATATCCCATATACCCCCCCCCCCCCCTTTTCATGAAGCCCAATAATAAAGGTAGGGATATCCCTATAAAGTGCTTCTGCTTATGTTCTTTTTGGGTTCCTAAGATAGTCTAAAGTGCTGACGAAACTTATGCGCGGTACCAGTCTTGATCTTATTTTGTGATGACGACGACGATCAAGCCAGCCATAAGGATGATGCCGACCCCGTCCTATTAGTGCTGGCGCTGTCGTGTCGCTGTCGCGCATGCTGATGCTGTCGTTACGATCGCTGTTGCCGTTGCTGTTGCTCGGGTTGTTGATTTTGCTGCTGCTGCTGCTGCTGCTGCTGCTGCTGCTGCTGCTGCTGCTGCTGATGCTTTTCTGATGCTGGTGCTGGTGCTGGTGCTAGTGCTGATGGTGGTGGTGGTGTTGGTGGTGGTGGTGGTGGGGGTGGTGGTGGGTGGTGGCGATGGGTGGTGGCGGTGGCGGTGGCGGTGGCGGTGTGGTGGTGGCGGTGGTGGTGGTGGTGGTGGTGGTGGTGGGGGTGGGGGTGGCGGGTGGCGGTGGCGGTGGCGGTGGCGGTGGCGGTGGCGGTGGTGGTGGTGGTGGTGTGGCGGCGGCGGTGGCGGCGGTGGTGGCAGCGGCGGTGGTGGTGGTGGCGGCAGTGGTGTTGTTGTTGTTGTTGCTGTCGCTGTTGCTGTGGTTGTCGTTGCTGCTACTGTTGTTGTTCTTAGAGTTATTGTTGATTGCTGTTCTGCTGGTGCTGGTTGTTGTTGCTGGTGTTGGTGTTGGTGCTAGTGTTGCTGTTGTTGTATTTTTTTTTTGTGCTGTTGCTCCACTCTTGTAGGGTGAACCCAATTCCGCGTTCGGAAACATGCGGCCCATCGTCCGTGCGCCAAGAGCCGGGAGAAGGGGCGGCCTCCATTCCTGTCTATACTACGTGTAGTTGCCGAGTTAAGAAAATTCAAGCTTCAGGTGAGCTCGCAGAACAAAGCCTACACTCTGAAATTGCAGTGCCAGCCAAGTCTGAACCCCCTAAAAGCCCCAAGCCCGAAAGCCCTAAATTCCAGAATCCGCAGCATTTTCAGACCCCTAAACCCGCCCCTAAACCCTAAACCCTAAACCCTAAACCCTCAACCCGCTCGCCTTCTTCAGCGCTCCCGGAGGGAGCTCTGCAGCACCACGCGGCTCTGCGCTTCCACCTGAACCGGAGGCCATTCCCTAAGGGCCCATGTGCCCATGTAGTATGTGCATTGGCCTTAAAGTGGTCCCTATACCGGTTTAGGGTTTAGGGTTTAGGGTTTAGGGGTTTAGGGTTTAGGGTTTAGGGTTTAGGTACTTCGGGGCCAAAGTATATACTATTTGGGCACATGGACCCTTAGGGATTAAACATATACTACGTACAAGCATATGCAAGGATATGTCTGTAGGTAGGTGTGTGTGTGTGTGTATTTCTGTATTCATTCAAACAACCATAATTAAACCCTAAACCCTAAACCCTAAACCCTAAACCTCCGGGTGCAGGTTTCGAATGGCGTGAGTTACGAGTCTTGTCTTGAGTGCCGGGCATTAGGATCGTAAGGACCGGAGCCTTCATTCCTAGGGGTTTAGGGTTTAGGGTTTAGGGGTTTAGGGTTTAGGGTTTAGGGGTTTAGGGTTTAGGGTTTAGGGTTTAGGGTTTAGGGTAGTTAGAGGATCCATAATACTACCATTATGGAATTAGGTGGCAAAAAACCATCCTTATTACGGTGGCGCAGGATTCTGGGTTGGCTTCCATCCGTAGCCATAGCCCGGAGCAACAAGCCTGAAACCCCAACTATATCGCTTTGGGAGGGGTTCCAGGATCCCTAATCCCCAACCCTTAAGACCCAAACCTTTGCTTAAAGGGTGCTGTTTGCTTCGTTTGGCGCTTGCAGCGGGCCCATAAAAACGGGCGCCACGATGTGAATCCAAAGCAGCCTGGTTTAGGGTTTAAGGTTTCAATCAAGTGCGCACAACTGTTGTGATGAAGAAAAGTACTACGTCGGCTGCTAAAGTTACTGAAGTCTTTACTACATCATCCCGTGCCTCATCAATCATTCGGCAGTCAAAAGCTGTGCACCCTTTTTGGGAGGCAGCTCTAAATTCGGAGTCCCTCTCGTGTAGCTTCGCAGTGTATCAAAGGGAATAATATGAAAGTACATATAGAAACATGTGATACGTACCTACATGAACCAACATGCATGTATGCATACAGAGAGACACAGATACATGGATAGATGGATGGATAAATGGATCGATCGATATCGGTTCTTATATAGTATCGTAGACAGATAGATAGATAGACAGACAGATGGATAGATATTTAGCTAGATAGACAGACAGACAAACAGATACACCGACAGGCAACAAGCTAAGTCGATAGCTTGAAGGTAGACAGGCAGATCGATAGATCGATCGATAGATGGGCAGCTGGATGCATGGAATCACGGGTAGATAGAATACTAGATAGATCGATAGAAAGATAGTTAGGTTCTTATTCCGAGCCAGCCTAAACCCTAAACCCTAAACCCTAAACCCTAAACCCTAAACCCTAAACCCTAAACCCTAAACCCCTAAACCCCTAAACCCTAAACCCTAAACCCTAAACCCTCAGCTTGCTAGAGCTTGAGGCCGGTAGATCGTCACAAGCCCTCAACCTTGGGTACGGCCCCCATACAGTAACAGTCTATAATCGGTTTAGGGTTTAGGGTTTAGGGTTTAGGGTTTAGGGTACTTACCCTTAGCATCAAAATCGCCCAAAAGCCTTATATAATAGGGTCTTTGGGCCCAAAGGCCTTAGAATATGAGTCCTTTGAGGGTAAGGGTTATTAAAGGCCTATTATATCCATAATATACATGTTATCCAACTGTTTCTGAGTGGGGGCAGAACTAGAGCCCAAAAAAGCACATAAGCAAAACTCAAGATAGGGATATCCCATATAAACCCTCTGATAGATGAAGCCCAATAATGTAGGGATATCCCTGTAGAATGCTTATGCTTATGTTCTTTTTAGGTTCATAAAGTACCCTAAACCCTAAACCCTAAACCCTAAACGCTAAACCCTAAAACCCTAAACCCTAAACCCCTAAACCCTAAACCACCCTGCAGTCCGATGCCTTCCGCCACGGACGGGGAGCCAGGCAGGGAAGCGGCCTGCATCATGTAGCAAGGACTCATGGCTCACAGGGCTTATGGGTTTAGGGTTTAGGGTTTAGGGTTTAGGGCCCTAAACCCTAAACCCTAAACCCCGAAACCCAAACCCTAAACCCTAAACCCCTAAACCTTTAGGGGTTCGGGGCAGGGCGCGGAGTGGTTCAAAGCACAGAGACCTTCAGGTGCCTTGGCCGGAACATGTACCTAGGCATACAAAAACTCGATGTAAACATCTATATATATATATATATATATATGTAAACATACATATATATATATATATAATGTGTATACAATTTTATACATCCACCACTATATAAAGGCAAAGAGATAAGACATGCCTTTGTATACTCATCCATCCATCCATCCGTGCCAATATACCTCAATGCATCCATCATGCATGCAATGCCTGTATTGCTGCATACACACTCGCCCCCCTAAACCCTAAACCCTACACACTCGCCCAAGCTTCCGGAGCTAGGGGAATATTTCGACCCCGACCACAGACTTTACAGCCAACGACGATACAGCGGGTTCAGATTCTTGCCTTCCGTGGTTTACGATTGAGTGTTTAAGAGGGTTCGGAACTAGTCGTCATACAGCTTCGGTGTTTACAATGCGCAAAAACTCCAAACAGCTACAGTCCAGATTGTATGGTTGTAGTGAAATATACCCTGCAACCCTGTAGTGGCACCGTAACCCGCCTCCTCAGGAGTCTTTGGCGCCTCCTGTGGTGTAACTTTCTGTTTCATTACAAGACTCAGAAATCAAATCATGGATATGAGCATCGTAGTATCGTGATTGGTACAAATGCTCGGAGAATGGTTGTATCCTGTGTCTCGCATTGCCACTGCTGATGTTGATGGCGTCGTTGCTGTGATCAACGTTGCAATTGTGGGTGCTGGCGATGTTGACATCTGGAAGCAAGATCCAAAACACAACTTCCCCGTGCCAGCCACCGACAGCCGTCTGTTCAAAACTGTCGAAATCCCCACACATTCAGCTGTTCGGCATTCTCAACCTGGCACCTATAACCCTAAACCCTAAACCCTAAACCCGAATATAGCACCCTATAAATGGTAGGATCAGTGCTCAAAGCCCACGGTCTCCTGCGCGGTGGATGCTCTCCTTAGGCCGCTTTTCGCCTGCTCTGATCCACACAGCCACACAACGGTTTAGGGTTTAGGCTTTAGGGTTTTAGGGTTTAGGGTTTAGGGGTTTAGGGTTTAGGGTTTAGGGTTTAGGGGTTTAGGGGTTTAGGGGTTTAGGGTTTAGGGTTTAGCCACACAAGGAGAAATCGCAATCTTGGCTTTTGTGAGGCTGCAGGGGCCTCAATCCTACACCCTACACCACAGCTGCAATAGGGGCCTTGATAGTTAGAATAGGGTTTTGGGGCCCATTATTGCTATAATTATAGTCAGGAGCCCCCAGAATAGTAGTGGCAATTATTTAGGCCCCCATATTACGTGTTCAGGGTTTGAAATTTACAGGTTAAGCATGGTTAAGCACTCAGCTCAGGGCTTGGATTTGGGGAGGTTTGGGTGTGCCTCTGCTTCTTCCTGATTCTGCTGTGCGGACCGTTTCACGGCTGTGAAATAGGGTGTAGGTTTCTCTTGAGAATGGGGATGGGGGATGGTTGGGGATGACGTCTTGGGGAATTTCGCGGCACCTCATCGACCTACAAGTATGGCATGATCAACCTAGTAATTTGTAACTAGGGTTTGGGGCGAGATGGATTGCAGGACATCTTTCGGGCTATCTTTTCTTAAACCCTAAAGCCCTAAACCTAAAACCCTAAACCTCAAACCCTAAACTTAAAACCCTAAACCTTAAACCCTGAACCCTGAAACCTACAACCCTAAATTTAGGGTGTAGGGCCTAGGGAAGACCCTGGGGCTTCTGGGGGCTCAGGCTTTTCACGGTTTAGGGCAATAGGGTTTAGGGCTTAGGGTTTAGGGTTTCAGGGTTTAGGGCTTAGGGTTTAGGGTTTAGGGCTTAGGGTTTAGGGTTTCAGGGTTTGGGGCTTAGGGTTTAGGGATTGGGGTTTAGGGCTGCAGGGTTT